TGACCTCGCTGACGCAACAATATGCTTGGTAAATGGATTATACTAGAAATCTTTGTAAATTGGATGGTTAGAGAAATGTAACATTATTTAGTGATATTATCAGTCTTTATAGAGTGGATGGTAAGGGTGATGTAACTGTTGGTGATATTAGCACTCCTTGTATAATTGATGGTTGAAATGGTATGACATTATAGTTTGTATTAACTATCTTTTGAAGATTGAATTATTCCGTAGGCTTGGAATGGGGTAAAAGATTTGTATAAACATCTTAACACTATATTTGGAATATTTTCAGTTTATGTTCCATATGTTTAACATTAATGACTGTTAACTGCTTTTTTCATATTATTTATTGTTGTGTGGTTTTAGCAACTTTTCTTTGACTGGATTTGAAGTTAAGTGTTCAATGTGGTTTAAGTAGAATTGGTGAAGGGAAGATTTATGAATGTAGTCATTATATTCTATGGTATGACAAGTTAAAGAATAAAAAATATATATATATACGTTTGATTTATGATTTAATTTTCTCAAGTACTAGCCAGCACTTCTCAATATCTCTTGTATAGATACAAAGTCATGTCATAGCCTAGCAAGTGACTCACTTTCTCTCCTATGGATTCAAAGTCACATAACTGCTAGCACATGACTTATATTCTCATTTGTGTAGAAACAAATGTCAGATAACAGGTAGCACACGGCTTTCTTTCTTGGAAGAAGATAAAGGGTCAAGTAGTGAGTAACACATGATTTTTTTTTTTCTTATAGATAGAAGCCAGTGATCATGGTAAACCAAAGCGATCACAAACTGTTCGTGTTTTGATTGAAGCCATTGCTGGGCCTAAAAAGTCTCCTCATCCTCCAGTCATCAGGAATTCTGAATCATACAATGTAGTAACTGCAAGTGACCCAATACAACAGATGGTGACATTAATTGAAGCAGATGATAAAGATAAAGACAGATTATGGTTTGCAATTGTTGGTAAGCTTTCAACATATAATTTTTTGGATGCCTTGAAGTTAAGCACTTCCTTACGATGATTATTTTTCTTAGTTTTTGCGACAGTATCAATTATAATCTGAAATATTTAATATTAGCATAAACTGGTTTTGGTGGAATTAAGACAAAAGAATTATTGTCAATTAATTTCCTCCATCAATTATTAAATAAAGAATGATACTGTTTACCTTCTTGTTTGGTGTATTGTTACCCTCTAGGTAAGACTTATTTGATAGAATTAATGTTATATAAGGTATTTTTAGCTGTTTGTATTAATAACCATGTGATTTGTTGCCAGGTGGTAATGATGATGAAAAATTTATGATGAAAAATGATGCTGGTGCAGTCCTTTTAGCAGAGCCTGTGAATGGAGAAAAGCTCAGCCAGTATAACTTGAATATCAGCGTAACAGATGGAACCCATACTGTGTACACAATGGTTCGTGTTCTCTTTTTTTTTTTTCGAATTTTAAAGTATTGAATTGTGAGAAAATCTTGTGTTGAGTGCAGAAAAACTAAAAGGTGTTGTCTGTTTTTGTAGTTTCCTAATTCCAGTTATTTATCATCAAAAAATTTCTAATGATATTTAACCCAGTCTTGTGTTTGTTTTTATATAAAATAAAATATGCTTCTAAAGATACAGTGCAATCAATTCAAATATTTTTGTGGAAAATTTTACAGCTTGTAAGAACATTTTTAAATATAAAACAACAAATAGGCTTTACACCATTGACCTTACTGTTTTATTTGTATAAGCTTTCACCCACTATGTTGGAGAAGTGTAAATGGATACATGGTACCTTTCATTGTATTTTAAACCATCATGTATCTTATATATCTTCCCCAAAAAATTTCTGTACTTGATATCACAATACAACTTACAATATGTTACTTATGATCAAGTGTTTATCCAACATGTGGTAATTTTTCTTTTATGTGTGACACTTTAAGGAATACAATAAATATTACAAATAGTGTAAATATGATTTTGTTCTTAAAAATGTTAATTCATTTGCATAATATACAGGACATCAGAGGGTGAGACTCGAATAATTCAGATGGAGACATCTTAAGTTATTTTTTATTTAAACTACCATGTAAACTACACTTTGTGAAATTACAAATTAAACAACATTATAACAAGTTCATAACATTGAACCATTTCATAGCTCAGGCACTAAAGCATAAATAAGTTTACTTAAAAATTCTACTTAGTTTTTGGTTAAGACTCATGCAAACAAATGCAGTTTTTTCTCATCCATTTTAATGTTGTATACTGAATGGATATTTCAGATTTCTATTTTTTAAGTATGCGTACTAAAACATACGAGAAAAAACAGCAATTTTATTAATCATCATTATCTATATGTTTGCTGCAAAAAAATTTTAAAATAAGATTGTTTCAAGTGAAAACTTTTGATAACTTCAGTTGTTTCAGTTCTTTAACTTTTTTTTAAACTGTAAAGTTATGTATCAATGATATGGAAATGTTTATAAATATCTCACAGCGAAAGGTGGACGTGAAAGATATCAATGATCATAGACCAGTTTTTAAGCAGTCTAAGTACATTGTAACTGTCAATGAGAGTTCTCAACAAGGAACAGAGATCTTGCATGTGTCTGCAGAAGATCGTGATAAAGCAGAGCAGCTGTTCTACTCAATTTACAATAGGTAAAAAAAAATAATTGTACAGTAAGTATGAGAACTTTTCATATAGTGAAAGCTTTCTAATCATTTGAATATTTGTAGAAGGTAATAACTTTACATTATCTTTGTCATTTTTACACAAAGTTAGAAATTCTAGCCAGGGGGCATAACTTAGCTTTGAGCATGGTAGGAGTCAGCTCATTAGGCCCAACTAGTACGGCTTCCCTCTTGTGTAATACTTAATGAAAGCATGAAATAAACAACTGATAAATCAGCAGGTACCAACACGATGAAATTTCAAATGACGTTAACTCCAACATTAGATCACACAGGCCTGCAATGGTTTTATTGTATTGAAATTTTTATATGTTCTAGAGTAATTCCTGTACGCTGAATCCGAAAATGATATCAATTTTTCTCCATCACGTACAGATTTTTCACAAAACGTCATATGTACTTTTACATAACTGAATCATTTCCATTGAAATTGGGTCACATTATGTTATGCTTAAAAAGTCGACAACCACTGGCTATAGATTTCTCTTGACCAATCGCGACGTGAGTTTTATCGATCATTCTAGAACCCAAAAATAATAAAAAATGTTCATTGTGATAAATGAAATAATAATTTGATCTAAGTAAGAGTTTTTTTCTTCCTGATTTGTAAAAAATCCTAACATGATAGAAAAACATGAACATTATTTTCGATATCTGCTTAGCTGAATTATGGAAAATCCATTATCATTTTATGAAGTTTAAATTTGCAGGCCTGTGTTATCAGTCAGCAATAGTCACCCATTGGTTGAAAAAGTCTATTCATCTTAAAGGTACAGTACCTAATAATTTATAAAGGTCAATAAGAATGTCTGCAAGAAATATTCCCTGTTTCCTGTAATAAAATAATTTGATCATTCATGTTTTGATACTACTGACTTGATAAGATACCTGTCCATACTACGTGTAGCAGTAAGTGTAACAAGGTTATGATATTGAAGCCTTTTTTTTTTATTCTGAGTTCTGTATTTTATGTTACTCAGTCAGGTTGACCAACAGACTGTTCTTTTATTCAAGAAAAGTATCCAGCTACCTAACACTGAGAGGAGTTTGGCACTTCACATCTCATAATTTTGTCTCTGATTCTAACCTTTGTTAAATTTATTTAAAAAATAACCTTCACTTGTATGTGTATAGAATAAATTGAACCACCAAAATCATAAATAAATAGATAACCAGATTTATTTTAGACAATTATTTTGTTAAATATGCTGCATTATAGATAAGATTTTTGAAGAAGCTTGATTCCTGCTTCTAAATTGTACAACTTTTTTTTTTGTTTGTGTGTTTCCTCAAACCTAAATATTATATATTGTAATGCAGCTTTAAAGACTTTAACTTGGTCTTCTGAACTCTGAAGTATAGTTAAAAGAATTTGATATCTGTAATTTTATAATATAAGTTTGCTTTGTTAAAACAAAAGAAGAAAAAGAACTGGAATTGTATGTTTATAGTCAAAGATGGAGTTTTACTGCCCTTTTTCCTTTTTTTTAATTCTTTAAATGTTATAATGGCTAAAAAATAACCATTGGATAATAATCATGAATTCAAATTCTAAAAATTATTATGTTTATAGTGCTAGTCCTTCCAGCCTTAAACACTTCCACATGGATCCAAAGAAAGGTACATTGTCCATTGCCGAGCCCCTTGACCGTGAAATGAGTCGACACCATATTCTGACCATTATGGTCAAAGATCGAGGCACTCCTGCTAAACGGAACTTTGGTCGTGTACACGTTGATGTGGAAGATCATAACGACCATGCTCCTGAGTTTCTGTCCACTCAATTTGAAGGTCAGGTTTATGAGACAGCAGGTATTGGCACCCCTGTTGTTCAAGTGTTTGCTGTTGATAGTGACAAGGGAAGAAATGCTCATATCAACTTTGCAATTGTTAAAGGTATTCCTATTCCCTGAGTTCTCACAGCTTATAGTTTTGAAAGTGTTTAAGGTTCTTAATTTCTTCCACTAATGCCTGCAAAAAGATATATAAGTTAAGCCAACAAAAGACATTACTCGTATAGCCACATTTGGTTGAATTGTGTAATTTTTATATTGTAGATCTCTTTTAAGTTTCCCAGTTATTATAAATTGTTTTGTTCAAACTCAAAAGGCAAAGTGTTCCTATAAATAAAAGAGCTGTGTTTAAAAAAAATTGTATTGTCTAAAATAAGCAAATACTTAATTATATGTTCTTCCTCTTTTTTTTTTTCTCTGTCTCTCTGCACAGGAAATGAAGGGAACAGTTTTGCAATCGACTCCAAGCTTGGAATTGTTTCAGTTGCCAAGGAACTCAACCAGAATCTTATGGGAGAATATTATCTCACTGTAAGAGCTTCGGATGAAGGAGAAGTTCCCAAAGAAAGTACCACAAGTGTTCACATTATTGTGACGATTCCCGATAATTCTGCACCAAAATTTGAAAAGAAAGAGTATGTCACAGAACTGTATGAAAATGAAAAACCTGGGACTGTTGTCATTACCGTAGCAGCCTCCAGTCGGTCCCTGCTATATTATGAAATAGTATCTGGAAATATTGACGCAAAGTTTGCTATTAATCCCCATTCTGGTGAACTTCGCACAACTACAGAACTAGACTATGAAGAAACAAATCTCTACAATTTAACTGTTAATGCAACAAACCTAGTTAGTATGAATGCTAGTACTGTAATAACTATACATGTACTTGACAGAAATGATAATACTCCAAAGTTTCTGAAGTCTATTTATTATGGCAAAATTAGTGAATCAGCAGAAATTGGAACCCTGGTGTTAACCAATGAAAGTGTTCCCCTGGTGGTCACTGCAACAGACAAAGACTCTGGATTGAACTCGCATTTAGTTTATGAGATTATCGAGAAATTACCCCGTACTTACTTCCAGATCGATTCGTCCACAGGTTAGTAACAGAATTAATAACTTTTGTTCTCTGCTTAGGGTAAATGTGATACAAGAAGAAAGATAAAAAGATCCTGAATTCTGTCTCATTTCCTACAACATTATAAAAAAACGTTGTTGTGTTTGAAAAGAGCTTAATTGTAATATTGCAGAAATTTAATGAAAATCAATTTATTTTACCAACTACACCCTACGCATTATCCTAATTGTGGAGCTTTAGATACAAGTTTGTCATATATCATTACAAGGGTTTATTGTAACCAATAGTCAGTGATTATATCTTCACTTGTAAAATTCAGTTATGGTTAAATGTTATCAAAAGAAAAAGTCTATAATAAGTCACCTGGTAGGTTATTAATTATTCTAAAATATTATCAGATTCCTTTTTTTTTTAGACCTTGAATGCTAAGACTAAAAAAAACTAATGTATGTTTCTTAAGGATAGGATCACATGTACATTTTTGTGGTTGTTATCAAAGCAAGAATATTTCATGATAGAGAACTTTAAGATATATATAAATGTTTTTACACAATTTTGGTTGGAGCTGTAAAAAGATTGGATAATGGTAAATTATGATCTGTAAAACACACACACCTTATGCACGAGTTAAAGATATTTATATATATATTAAAGTTTTTATTAGTTAGATACACTTAATCTTCACTCAGCTTTATTTGTAACAAATGTTAGAAGTTTTGTGTTTTATATAAAACGTTATAATGCTACATTGTTTTGTCATTATAGGTTCCATAAGTACAGTCCAAACATTGGATCATGAAAAAATAACATATTTTCGATTCACTGTCCAAGTTACAGATAAGGGTAAACCTCGGCTTATTGCTGAAGAAAACGCAGAAGTTTTTATTTTGGTGCTGGATGTAAATGATTCTCCTCCTCAGTTTGAAAAGGACATGTACGAATGTACCCTGCTTCTGCCTACTTACAAAGGTGTAGCTGTTACTGTTGTCAAAGCTCACGATCCTGATTCTGATGCACAGACAGGAATTAAATATGCTATTGTATCTGGTAACCGTGGAGCCAAGTTTGTTATTAATGAGGTCACTGGTCAGATCTTCATAAGGGACCCAGAAAAATTGGAGGACCAGTACAATATGATTGTAGCAGCTAAAGATGGCGTGTTTGAGGCTAGCACCAAAGTTCAAGTCAGAGTAGAAAAGACAAAAGATAGTGGACTAAAGTTTTCCAAGAGTATTTACAGAGCTTCAATTATGGAAAACACAACTGACATATTAAAAGTTACTATTGTAACTGTTGTTGGAAGTGCCCTAAATGAGCATGTGACTTTCGATATCCTAAACCCTTCTGGTATGTTTAGGATTGGGAAAACATCTGGGTCAATCCAGACAACTGGCAAGCCTTTTGATCGTGAGACTGAAAACAGTTATACTCTTGTTGTAGAAGCAAGAAGTGCAGTTACTTCTGTGCCACGTGTAGCTCATGTCCTTGTAGAAATAACTATTCTTGACGTGAATGACAATGCCCCAATATTTGTTAATCTTCCTTATTATTCAGTGGTGCCTATTGAAGCCCAGCCTGGAGATTTGATTCGCAAGGTAAGGTACTCTAATGTTTTAGTAATAACATTTACATTAAAAGATTAATGAAATTAAGCTAATTTTGTAAGCAGTAATGTTGTATAACTATGTATTTGTGTGTGTGTGTATATATATATATATATATATATATATATATA